AGGAATAGGCTGCATGCAGGGAGGGGGTTTCTCAAAGCCAGAATGTGGGCCCACATTAACTCTTAAGTTTGGTGTGTACAAGCATGCCAGCACTCGACCCCATATATTCATGTTGCCACTAGAACTAAAGAGTAGAAGAAATTATTCCTCCAATGTATTTCTTGATGTATCTTCTTGTATCCATCAATAATACAATCAGTATTAGTATAATAAAAATGTACACTGCAGTAACATTTAGAGACCAAGCAGGTCAGGTCTTCCATGGTAGGTGCTGTATAAACATATAACTATGATATAATAAGCTGTGTACTTTCTACCCTTACCCATGAACACAATATTTAGAGCCAGATTGCAATACAGTGACTCATAAGAGACCACTGAGTTCCTTTGGTCAGCAAGCCTACTGATGGATGAAGCCACTATTTAGTATAAGCACAGCATCAATTTCTAGCTCAGAAAAAGAAACAAGTACTTACTTACGACCTTTTTCTTTTGTGTTTCTTGGATAGCTAGCTGTCATCTGCTCAGCATATTTCTTATTAGCCTGATCAAACGCATTTGTTTTTTGTGTGATCATTTAGAACATAGCAGTGAACCCTGGTTCGATCGACAGGGTTGCTAATGGAGAGGGCACTCCAGGAGATGATGTGACAGCCAACAAGGAAGAAGAAAACAAAGGAGGATTTGTAAAGTTTGGATGGGTGAAGGGCGTGTTGGTGAGAGAACCTACCTTCCAGAAAATTATCTGTGTATTAAAACAAACAAATTAGCAATTTTTACAATTAGCCCTTAAAATGGGGGGGAAAGGACCTTTTGCTGCTTTTAAACAACTAATTAATTTTTGCAACATGTACTGTAGAGTTTCTAGCTGTTAACAGTCTTCATTTTATAGTGATGCCACATTATTTGTCTAAAACTTAGGTGAGATGCATGTTGAATATCTGGGGTGTGATGCTTTTTATTCGACTCTCCTGGATTATAGGTCAAGCTGGAATTGGTATGTATTTTTTAAAAATAAGTTTCAACAGTGTAAAGGAAAAGAGAATAAATTATACATGATCATGATTCATATTTGATCAGAAATATGAGTTTGCATGTTGCACTAAGTTTTTCAAATGTTTGCCAAAAGAGGATAAAATTAACTCTCTGAACTACTGGAGTTTTCCAGATTGCCACACAAATTATAATTTAGTAGGATTTATGTGTAAATACATATGATTGTCACATTTGATGACCCCTCAGCTTTGTGAACTTTACATTTCAAGCGAGATCTAAATTCCATGACTCAGGCCAGTTTCTAAATTGTGTATTTATATACTTCTAACCTTCATGAACTCACAGTTTGCTAATCCATGCTTCCTAAATGCTGTCATTCACATGCTAGAACAATTGTTTGTTCATACCTCTCTGCAAAAATTAAAACAAACCTGTCAGGAGGTTTTGCACCTGTAAGACAGAAGTAAATTTTAATACAGAAATAAATACTAATAGACTAGGAAATATCACAGATGATTGAAACCAGCTATAGCTTTCAAATAAATTAAAGTACATATTCTAATGCATCTTTGCTTCAAACCATCTGTTACATAATCACCTGAACCAGCTCCCAGTAAAATCAATGTAAAGGTTCATTGAGTTCAGTGGGAGTTGAATTGGACCCTGAGGCTGCGTCCAGACGAGTGCGGCCGTGCGGTATATGGCACAGCAAACATATCTGCAGTGCCACATATTGAACATTTAGATGTTCCCTGCGCTGTAAGGGAGCACTATCCCACTTTTTTTTCTGCGGGATTTTTGGACCCCTGGATATCCAGGGGTCCAAAAAACCCACAGAAAAAAAAAAAAAGCAGAACAGCGCACACACAGGCAGCGCGCACCGCACAAAAGCAGAGCTGGGCCACCCAGTTGTGCTGCGGCTGCTGGCCAGGCTCCACGCACCAGGATTGCCACTGATGCAGCCCTGGAAGGACCCCAGGTCCCCAGGTAAGGCTGCTAGGGCCAGCCCAGTGTTGACCCCAGCCACCCCTACCCCATCCAGTGCAACTTGCTGCACGCCAAAGCGTGCATGGCATGGCCATTTCCTGGGGAACCAAATGTCCACACTGATCTGGACGCACCGTGAGAGTTGTCTGTGAAGTGCCGTAACTCCCACTGAGATCAGAAGGAAAGAAGAGTGAGCACCACCTGATAAGATCCTTTAGCATCTAGTCATAGGCTTACTTGCAACACTTCGGTAATAAAAAATTGGCTTTAGCTAGTGGCACAGGCTGGAGAAAGATTTTCTTTATACAGGCAGTCCTCAGACTTACAACGTAATTGGCTCCTGAAAACCATGTCTTAAATCGAAAAGTTGTAACTCAGAACCAATTTTCCCATAGGAACAATGTTATAAATGGGGGTTGGTTCCTTTACCATGCTCAACACAGCTGCCTCCAGCTGGTAAGTCTGTTGTGGTGGGGGAGAGGGAAGGCGCGTGGTGGGGGGCAGATCAATGCCCCTGCAGTGAGGGAGGGATTGGGGCTGGGGCAAGGGCTGCCCAGCTGAAAGGGAGGAGTGGGGAGGGGGTGGGTGGCTCCTGATGTTGTGGGCCGCTGGTCAGGGAGCTGCTCGTCTTGCAGCTCTTGCTGCTGCTCCCACTGCTGGTTTGGGAGGGCATAGGAGGAGCGTATGCCCCTGAATCTTCATGGGGTGGGGCTGGGGCTGTGCCAGGCTGTGCTTCAGGCCAGCGGTGAAAGGCACTGGGAGCAGGGGCTATGCCCTCCTGCTGCTCACCCAGCCAGGATGGGGTGGAGCCACTGAGTTGCCTATGGACAAACGGCGCACAGTGGCTAGAACTGCACTGCCCTCCCTGCACCTCCTGGATGAGCTGCAGCTTCACTCTGCCCCAGCTGGGCAAGTGGTGGCAAAGCATGGGGAAGGCGTGTGCCCCTGGATTGGGGTGGAGCAGGCAGTGGAGTGGGGACTATGGGGAGGCTGCAGCCACCCTAAAATTTGCCATAGCCCCTGCCACCTGCCCAGAGCACAACCTGGTGCAGCCCAGCCCCGCCTGCCCTATGCAGATCTGGGGGCATATGCCCCCCTATGCCCTGCTGCCACTGGCCCAGCCAGGGTGCAGCAGGGCTGGGAGGCGCATAGCCCTGGCTCCACAGATCCAGGGGCACATGCCCACCCATACCCTTCTGGACTGGCAGTGTGCAATGGTGGGAGCTGCCCCACCCCCTCCCTGTGCTCCCCCGCCCACTGAGCCGCCCCTGTCCCAGCCCCAACCCCAATCCCTCCCTCACTTGCTGCAGGGGCATTGATTGCCCCCCACCACAACAAGTTTACCAGCTGGAGGCAAATGTGTCCAGCATCGTAAAGTTGAAACCCTGTCAGAACCTCAAAACAGTGTCGTAATTTACAAAGGTCATAAGTGCTGTTTGTCGTAACTCAAACAATCATAAGTCGAGGACTGCCTGTATTAGTAACCAAGTTCCTCACAACATGATCTCTTTTTATCATGTGTTTAAACAGTACCCACAATAACTGGGCCCTGACCAAAACCTGTTAGATGCTACTGCAATGCAAATAACTACAATCCACAGGATCAAAGAGTCAAGAACAAGTACTTTCTGTTACTATTCCAATGATCTCACTTTTATAACATGGGTTTAGAAACAAGAACTTGAAACAAGTTTTTTTAATTGTGGTGGTACAGAACTCAAATTTGGATTGCATCTGAATTAAGCTGATTTCCCTAATATAAAGCAAAATAAAACATCGGGTTAGTCATTCTCCAGCTTTGTATAGATGTAATCTCATCTCAGGCAAAGCTCCCATGAGTTAGAGAGACAATTTTCTTGAGCGAGAATTGTGAGATGAGGCCCAGATTTCACATTTACACAACTAGGTTTTAAAAATCCCCACCTCCCCAGCAATTTATCAAAACACATAGATGAAAAAAAGGGAAAGTTCATGAAATAAAGTGGAAGGACTCTGCATACTTCCGACAATGTTCCATGTTCAGCTCCAGCACTGTGCCTGACAAAGGGGTGCTTGCTGATTTTATGATGCATGCAAAATAAGAGTTTACAGCCCAGGGCACACATAAGTATATGCCTTGCCATGAAAACTCTGCATCTTAACATTGCCTAGACTTTGCTCTGGGGCTTCATGCAAAATTAGTTTTTAAGAGCAGTTTAGTTACTTATTGAGATCATCAAGAAGTATTACTTTGTTTTGAGGTGTGAGAATAGCCATAGGCAAGAGTAATTCATTTTAATGCAACTTACTCAACACCCATATGTCTATTTCAATCTAAACTTTAATTAGATATAAACATTACTTGCACAAACACTGGTTACAATGTTCTTTATTTCACATTTAATATTACAATTGTAATTCACTAATAATCAAAGCCTCCTTTCTTGCTGTTTATTACTTGGTTGTTGTTTTCAATTACATGTCATATGTAAGCAGGTTAGTTTTGCTTTTCAAAGGAAACAAAACTTCTGTTTCAATAATCACTCAAGGAACTTTTGCAATGCCCGGTAAGCAATGAACACTCAGCCTCAAGTCAAGCTGCTTAAGAAATGTAGCGATTGAAGCTCATCATCACCAAGGCTTGGGGATTTCACTGGGCACTGTCATTAACATGAAAGTTTAAATGAGTCACTTAAGGCACCATCTGGGCAACATTTATATCCCAGTCATTAGAAAGGCAAGAGAGCAAACCCAATTATTTTCATGTCTTGCTAGACCATTTTGGGTACAAACTAATACAGAGGAAAATGTATTTTGAGATGAGGGTCTCTGATAGCAAGAAATCAGCAGCAGCAATGAAACAGGAGATAACAGATTGTCTGCCAATATCAGGGCCACATTCCCTCATCAGCTGGTCATTCTGGGACTCCCCAAAACTGTCTCTGCATTTAATCTGGGTTGTTTGGCACAGAAGAATGGACACATCACATTAAGCTATTTGGAAATGTAGCCCCAAATGTTACAATTAATAATAAAATTAATAATATTGTTAGCACTTTAGTTGCTGACTATTTATTCCATGCACTGTTCTTGAGTTTTGCCATCCTTACTGGATTAACAGCAAATTTTGTACAGACATCCTTTGTCTAATGAACAGAATACTTGACCCTATCTAATAAATTCATTGAGATAAAGTATGGAAAGTGGCAAATGTAATAAGAAAGGTAAAAAAAAGTATTCTACTTTGACCTTTACTGTCTTAATCATTCAATTTAATGGTGTTAACAGTAGATTTAAAAAGTCAGATCCTGTCACTGACCAGGATGCAAAACTCCCTAAAAATTCAGTAGGATTTTTGCATTTAAACTAGCATAGGATATGGCCAAAGAATGGACTTTGCATATAAAAGCTTATGCCAAACAAAATGGTTAAAATCAATCTCCCAAGTCAGACAGTATAAATGTGTTTTCTGTGGCTTCAGTCATTTTAAATAACTTACACGGTTACATTTTATATACCATTTATATCTCTGGTACTATGTTATTCTGTCTTATGAAGCGGCAATAACACTTCTGTAATTTTAGTAAAAAATTAATTTTATTAGTGTATTGGCTATACATAATAATCCTAAAAGAAACTAAGTCAGGTCTCTGAAATGAAGGGAGAAGCTAAAATAGGGTAGGTAAATCAATATGTTTGTAGTACGTCGAATGGTTTGCCAGTTACGAGCTCCAGGTTTCAATATGGACAAGCTATGTTCAATATTTACTGCTACAGGCAAGGTATAGCCTTCCATTCTGCAGTGAAGATCTACTTATCTTATGGGAGCAAAAGAGTTAATAAGGCAGGAAACATTATACCAGGAAATCATGAACAAGCTGTTAAGATTAAGAAATTATTTTGATATTTGACCTCAAGCTTTTGTGATAACATATAAAGTTTGAATTGGTTTTTTAAAAATATTTTCGTATTCTGTGCATAGCTAGGAATGGTAAAGGCAACAACAAAATATGAGAAAAGCTGTTATGGTATTTCTTTGCCTGACAGGAAGCATGAAAGCATTTTAGAACTGAGCCTCAGAAGAAGCCCTATTTCTCATGTTATTTTCCAGAGTTAAGAGAAGCCAGACCAGGGGTCAACAACCCCCAGCACATGCTCCAGAGCATGCTGCGTGAGGCCATTTTTCTCGGCCAAGGCTCAGGGCAGCTGCAGCAGGTGGCGGGCAGGCTGCAGATAGCTGCACCAGGGTCTCGAGCCTCAGCACCGGTTCCATGCTAGTAGTGACTGTGCCTGTGCCTCGGGGCACAGGGCAGGGAAGGGGCCAGGGCAGCGCAACCCTGGTCCCTCCCTCACCGTCCCAGAGGCACACATACAGCTGCCACCAGCAACAAAGATTGGGCCCCTTACAGCTTCCCCATAGTCTGCCTCTGGTATACCACGTTGAGGCATGGGTCAGGGTTAGGGTGTTTTTGGCACTCTGGTCAAAAATGCTGCCGACCCCTGAGCTAGACTATATGAATAAGATGCAGAGGACAAATTTCTAGGCACTTATCTGAAAAAGAGTCTTCCAAGGTTCACCTATCAGAGAGAATCCCTTAGGCATTTGATAATTACCTGGAATTATGCAATATGTCCAGGGGCAGATCTGAAATGTGGTGTGGTCATGCAGTCATACCCCCTTTGATGTTGAGAATTCTCATTTTGGCTACCAATCACATACACAATGAGCTCTCCACTACTGCTGCACCCCCCTTTTCAATGTCCTGGATATGCTCCTGAATATATTGAATTTAATTAAACAAATGCTGCTCAACAATTCCACATTCTGGACCGCTTTGTTAAAATTAGGTCCGTCTAGAAAACAAAACCTTTGTATTGCAAAAAAAATGTTTTTGTTACATTAGAACAAAACCACAACTTAATGAATTAATTTTGTAAAAGAAAGAGAATGAGGAGAAGGGAAACACCTAATCACCAAGCTATTATTCTCTCACTCTCTGCACAAAGACTGTAATTAATTAATTTTTACAGAGCAGACCAGGTCTAACAGAAGAGTCAGAGAAAAAGAGACTGATTCTACCTGTTAGTTACATGAGTTACATTAGTAACACATACACACACACATATACGTACACATATACATATACAAATATAACACACACACATATACACATACACATATACACACATATTAGTATCTATATATTAATATACATATTAATATCCAAGGTGTGGGTCAAAGTAAAAAATGAGGCTTTTCTTTATTTTGTTCAGCCAGTTAAGTTCAGATGAAATCATAAGAAAACCCTTGACTGAGCTACCCCTATCAGAAAGCATCACTGCTTGAAGACTGATAAATGTTTTACTAATGTTACATGGACGTGCTCAACAGGTTACAAGTGGTCGACAAACTATCATTTCAGTTGAGAGCTCTGATTCTGCCGTAGAAGTTTAATTGAAAGGCACAATGATTTATAGGCAGCTTGGAATGCAAGTAAAATATTTTATCTTTTCATTACTGACAGGTCTTGGAGTTATCATAATTCTTCTCGCCACCATGGTAACCTCAATTACTGGGTTGTCAACTTCTGCAATAGCAACTAATGGGTTTGTCCGTGGAGGTAAAATCTTTAGGGTTTGTTATGCTTTCAGGACTTAAAAAAGGTCTCAGTATCTTATTTTCCTATGAGACTATCTAGAAGTTTTAATCTCTATATATAACAACACAGAGGATAAATGACATTTACTCAAAAGGAACCTGCAGGTACTGCACTTAGCCAACACTAACCACAATTGACAGGATGTTTTAATAAATCCCAGATTTCAGTTGTTTGTGAAGTACATTTCAGATGCTCCTGTTTAAGACCAGCTGAGAAACAGCTTCCACTTTCTCCTGGAATTCTTTTTTTCCTTAACCTTGTATTTCTATTCAGAACATTTCAGGTGGGGTGACACTGCACTGAACACAATGAACCTCCATCCTTTAAAAGAAAGCCTGGTACAGATCTGTGGATATAGTAACTTGTATCCTATGCATTTCCTTATAAAACCCTTTCACATTTCAGGTTCTCCTTGGACCATGAGTGATTATTCTTGACACAGTAACAAAGTTTTGTACTTTTCAGGTATTTCATGAAACCTGATTATATGTAAAAGTTTAGTGCATTTCAGGATCTAAAATCTACAGCTGGTCTGATTGCCCTAAATGGACAAAGGTTATTTCTTACTACTGGACTTAAGCACCAATGAATTATGCATGCATTTGGGTTAAAAAATACTTTCTTTTGGGATCTTTCAGGTCTTGGAGTCATAGTTATTTCTCTGAGTGTTGTAGTAACAACATTAACAGGTATCTCCATGTCTGCCATTTGTACTAATGGAACAGTAAGAGGAGGTAAGTACATTTAATTACACGAAAAACAGAATTCTGCAGAGTTGATTTAATATAAATTAGAGCCATGGCATTTGTCTTAGTCCAATAACTTAAATTAAAAAACAAAATAAACAAAAAACCCAACAACAGATAAGCTTTTGATTTTTATTGATCTCCTTTACTGGACTAACCCTAAACAAAAGTGTGTATCTTCATCAGAGCTGATCTTAAACATGACCTGACATTAAATCCTGTGGCCCATTGTCAAAAAAAAAAAGTTCTAGTTGATGGAGATCATACCTCTAGAGATACAAAACCTTTAAAGGCTTTATGGCATCACTCTACAGAATGTTTAAACAAAATGTAGTGCAGTTTCATACCCTGAAAAATGAATTTTCACACTAACAATGGGACGGATACAGGTAAGGCAGAAACTGTTTAGTGGTAACGTCTTCTCTGTAGTGTCTTCATTTTAATTATATACTGTTAAATTATTTCCTTAATGGGTTATCTTTGCATGCTAAATGATACATGCTAAAAGATATTAATGATTCTCAAGGATTCCTGTTTTAGCTGGGCATTTACCATACTGAAAATTTGAAATGCTAAGGCAAGTCCTAAAACTGGAACTCTTACAAACAGTGACTGAGGCCCTGTCCAATATTATGATATGTTGCCATTAAAATATGCTTTTCTGTATTAACAAAGCAAATCCTGCCTGGGTTACTCAAGCAAAAAGTCGATTGTCCCATTAGTTTTACTCACAAGGGTAAAGTGAGCAGGATTTGACAGTATCTTAATTATAAAGCAGCAGTCTTTTTTGCTTGCAGGTGGAGCTTACTATCTGATTTCAAGAAGTTTAGGACCTGAATTTGGTGGATCTATAGGGCTCATCTTTGCTTTTGCCAATGCTGTGGCAGTAGCCATGTATGTAGTTGGATTTGCTGAAACAGTTGTAGAACTGCTTAAGGTAAATATGAAAGTGTACTTTTGAAACATGTGATAACTAGGGAATTTTGTTAACTTTGTTTAACTTATGATCTCTCTCTAGCTCAGGGGTCAGCAACCTTTTACCAACATGGGCCACAGCTTGTAACCTGGCTGGTGCCACAAGGCACCATTCCCCTCCGGCTGCTCCAGCAACAGTGAGCAGAGGTTGCCATAAGGAACAGCGATTCTTCACCAGGCTGGAGAAGCTGGCTGGAGCAGCAGAAGGTGGCTGGTGCACCATTAGCAACACACAGACAGGATCAAACAGCTGAGGATTTGCACTCCCTTAGTAAAATGCAGACCAGATAAAACTTTTGCAGGCTGAATCCAATCCCCTTGCAGGGCAGATCCAGCCCTTAGGCCGTAGGTTGCTAAGCCCTGCTCTAGCTGATGCTTAAGAGGTATCTTTTGCTAAGAATTAGATATTTCAAAATATGCCATAAATCGAGTTTATAAGCTTTTCCATCATTTCTACCTTATTGCAGAAGTGCTTCATACACTGCTACAAGAGCTTCATAACTACTAAAGGGAATAGGCTCCTAATTAGTCAGCCAATAATCTCAACTACTAGGGTGAAACTGGCACACAAAATGTGAACTGTAGGGCTCATTAAACTCTGAAACTGATTAAACTACATTTGTTCATTCTGTTCCATCTTACCTGGTTGTCTTATCATAGTAACTATATTTCTAATAACATTGCTTATACTTTTCAGAGCAGTAATGCAATGATGGTGGATGAGTCCAACGACATTAGAATAATAGGCTCCATAACTATAGTGATACTTTTAGGTATATCTGTGGCTGGTATGGAATGGGAAGCAAAGGTAAGATTTTAAAAGGACATATAAAAAGTATGAATATACCATAGAACATTTTACACAGGCATAAGAAAAGATATTGGGGTTGGAGATCTACCTAAAAGATGGAATTATTAAGCATTCAACATAAACCCATGTCTTTTCCCGCTGAAGTCAATAGGAATTTAACTCTAGATTTCAATGGGAGCAGGGATAGGCCATGCACTCCATTTTCTCTTTGAACGCATATTGGTGGGAGACAAGGGGTTTGAGTTCTTCAGGCAGCTTAGTTTTATTTACTTTGTAATTGGTGGCTGATTCTCCTAGAATCCTGGAGATGTGCCCCTTTTATATTTGGTCCTGCTCTATAGAATAAGTAATAAGAAGAAAAATAATGCATGAGGTTGTCATGGTACTTTGTAGAATACTGAAACTGAAAATGGATGGCTATATTTGTTATCCATTCCATTACCCTCTAATCATTTCAGCTTTGCTTTCAACTGTTCAAAAGTTCAAAGCCTCTGTTGCTTGTTGAGAAGAACACCTGCAACATAAGGAATTGAAATCCCTAAGAGAATGGAATGTACCTGTCAAAATCAGGGCTAGAAAAGCAACCTTATTTTCATATTCTGCTGTAATGGGAATTTAGAGCTACTTGTAAAGAAGGTCAAAAAGCCAATTCACTATTATATTCCTTGAAGTAAAAACCTGTGGGAACTGAACGAATTATATCAGTATAAAATGTCTCATGCTTAATATTTACCCACCAGTTTGCTCTTTTGTTTTCCAGCCCCTGTAAAAGAATCCAGTGTAACATGAAGCAGTAGTCATAGCTTTCTATATTTCATCTCCATTCTTTGTTGCAGATTCTTACTCTCATAAAGTTTAAGGCAGTTTGCCTCCTCAAATGTCATGACTATTATATCATCTCCCCATGTGACATCAGTATTTTTAGCAGAAATTTGAACTCCATCATTAGTAATACATAAAGGCTACCAAATTAATAACTATTTTGAAAACAAAATTTGACTAATAAAAACCCCTCTTTTTATCTCTATTAACAGGCTCAAGTTATTCTCTTAATCATTCTTCTGGTTGCCATCATTAATTTCTTCATTGGGACAGTCATTCCTACCAGCAATGAAAAGAGGGCAAGAGGCTTTTTTAATTACCAAGGCAAGTGTTGCTATAACCTAGTCATTTCAAGTAAATCAATTCTCTTTTTGACCTAGTCCTGCAGCCATTACTTCGGCAAAATTCCCAGTGAGAAGGCTAGCAGATTGGGTTCTTTTATCCAAAGTTAAATGAGTGTGTGAACTAAAGAAACCCCCATTTTTATTATTTCTTGGGGGATGAATTTATTCCATTTATTCCCAAACTGTTTCACATAACTATACACAAACACTTTAGTTACCACCTGCAGCACTCCTGTAATTTCAACACAGTTCTGTAGCCTTGCTGGAGACTCGACTGAAATGATCAAATTCACTTCACTTTCAGTTCACGTACGATAGAAGACATATTTGAACCCAGAGGTGAAAGAAGAATTAATTTACCTTCTTCATCACCTAATTTGAGAATAAAGTACTTGTGTTATGTTTCATTTTCCATCCTGGTTTCATTTTCATTTGTATTTGCAGCTTCAATATTTGCAGAAAACTTTGGACCAGGCTTCAGAGATGGAGAAGGATTTTTCTCGGTCTTTGCCATTTTTTTCCCAGCTGCTACTGGCATTCTTGCAGGAGCCAATATCTCAGGAGACCTAGAAGTATGAATTGCATTTACTTTATAATACTGGTTCTGTTATAGACGAGTAAGAATTAACAAGAAAACAAAGTATAAATCAATACTAGACTCACTTTAAATATACAGCTAATTCCATCAGGCAAAACTCTCATTTTTAAATATTTGTTTTATTATCTAAGCACATCAGTTCACATTTTCCTTCTTATACAATGCAGCTATGTACACAAAATGATTTATTTAAAAATTTGGTTTGCAGAATGTAAACTATGGAATTTAAAAGGGATGTTTCAATAACCTATAACAACATAATGTTACTGAATCTATTATCAGTATCTTGTACATGAAAATTAGTTGTGTAATTCCCATTAGTATTTCTTTGCTTTTTATACTGAAAAAGTATACTGAAAACCCACAAGTTTTTACCCATAAAAGCAAGGAAATTAAAAGAATATGCTAAAGAAAGACTTATGGGAGAATCAATAGGAGACTAAACCCTTCCATGTGCCCACTTCCCTTGCAATGTATCAGTTACATGAGCCTATTACTCCTTAAGTAATGTGTCCAATATCTAGGCAAATTGATAAATTAAGGAAAGGGTTTAGCTTTCACTTTGAATGACCTCTAGTTTTCATACTTTATATTAAAATTATATTAATATTTAATATTAACCTAATATTTAGATATGATTGAACTCTTGTAGCTAAAGACAACGTTCAACTCATTTTGAGCTTTTGAAGGTTTGCAAACCACTTGGTGAAACACTCCCAATATTTCTGAAGCTATCCATTACTCCGTAGTATTCAAGGAACATCAAAAACATAACCTGGTAATCTGTGGAGTATTTGTGAATCATGAGCACTCAGGTACTGATCAGGTACTGAAAGACAGCCACAGTGGCACAGTTAATGCCACAGCTCTATACATACGTAGCTCAGCTCTACACAAGTTCATGAATGCTAATTTTAAATGTCAGAAAAGGCCAAGATTCAGCCAAGACTAGTGCCCCTCATTGGATTAGTGTAGCTAAGGCACACTAGATTTTGTTGCCAGTGCTTTAGATTAGGCTTTAACAAGATAAGAGTAGTGTATATTCTTCTGATTTTATTTATTTTTTAAGATTATAGCCTAAAAACTAAGATTACAGTGCAATGGCCACTTGTCATCCATACACTAAAACTGAATCCATTAAAACCTATCATAAATTGGGGTTAAAGATTCCTTTGTAACTGAGCTGATTTGTTTGGTGGGGGGGTTCAATGTTTATCCCCATTCATTCTTTTTTGATAATAGTTAATGCTATTAATTGAATCATCCATATTAAATACAATGACCTTTTGATTTTGGCTAGAAAACCAAAGCAGTCCAATACCTACAAAACATACAGAAACCCTGAAAATGAAAATACACAGCATTCCATTCCATGCCTCCTAAACTAGCTAAGTGACTAAATGAATTTAAAAGAAAATTAACAAAAATTACTTTTTAGACTGAACAAATAAACACCAAGTTATAGCCTGCAAGAATTTTTTATGGTATTTAAATCCCGTAAAAAGTTAGAATGTGTAATGGAAAGCCTTGCAGCTCTTATTCACAGAAGCGTGAACAGTACTGGTGTCATTTTAAGACACTGTTTATAGAAGAAATGCTGACCCAACAGAATGGCCCCTTCCAGCAATAATACATATCAGATTTTTATTGAATTATCTAAATTAAAAAGAAAAACATTCTGGAAAGAGGTAGCTCACTTTAGACATGGCTATCGATGATTAGTTTCCAACAGCAATAACATTCTCTCTTGAGAAGGCTATCAGCTGACTCAAAGAGTTAGATGGGTAGTTTGGGGTAGCGGGTAAAGATGACTGCTCTGCTAGTGCAAAGGGGACTTAAAACTGCCATAACTAGACAGCTGAGGATTCTTCCAGTATGGCATAACCATATACACATAGCCTGCAAGTCCAAGGTCAGGGGATATTGCCATAGTAATACCTGACTCCCATCTCGATGCTAGAGAGGCAAGATCCTTGTGCAGATCTAAGGGTACATACAGATGTTCAGGGAGGTTAGGGGGAGGTTAGATCACATTAAAAATAGCAATTTGATCTTAGTTCACCCAGGTGCAGAACTTACACTTGGGGTTCAGACAGAAGTTACAATTTTCACCTGATCTGGCCAAAGAAAGAAGCTTATAGCTGTGACCAAACACAAGTACGTGGCTACAGACAGCTTAAAAAATGGCTGATTGGGTGAAAATCTGACCCCTCGTTGCATAAGAGTGCAGACAGAAGTGCAGCTTCCAGCTGTAACTCAGAATGATTTTTGCAAAGCTATCTGAGTTACAGCATTACCCAAGACCAAACAGAAGTTCACTCTTGGTTCCAAGGAGGAGGGGAATCCAGCTGTGGGCTGGGAGCCTGCTGCCAGGTTCCCATAGCAATGGCCAGGGCTCTCTGCCAGTCCTGGGTGTTTTCAGAATGGGGGGGAAGGCAGTGGAGGGAGCTTGTTCTTGGGGCTTTGAAGTAAGTTGGGGTGAAGGGAGGGGCAGGTGGGATATGGGGGTTGGTTTGCTGGGGGGGTTGTTTGGGGGTGGGGGGTTGGAGGTTAAAAATAGCCCCTGTTCCTAGATGGGAGAGAAAGCCCCTTCCACATATCCCACTACCCCCCCCCATCCCCTCCATGGACCCTGCTAGCCCCCTAATCCTGCCAATCCCTCCTAGACCCCTCTGACCCACCCATGGACCCCACATGTCCCCCCAATTCCCCTGTGGACCCCACTAGCCTCCTTGATCACTCCTGTGCACCCCGCTAGTCCCCATGATCCCCCTGATCTCCCCAACAGACCCTGGATGGCCCTCAGATCCCTTCTGAAGACTTCACTAACCCCACTGATCCCCCTGCATGAACCCCACTAGCATCTCTATTCCCCTAATTCCTCCTGGAGCCTGCTTGCTCCTGAATCCCCGAAAGCCCCTTCCCACCCCCTCACCCCCATTCTGACTTACTTTAGATTGGGTGGCAATTTTTAATTCCATCTAACCTTCCCCTAACCCTCCCGAATGTCTGTACATACCCTAAAGGGCAAAAATGCCTTCTCCTATTTTTAATTTGCATATTGCATGCACATGCACGAAGTCTTGCTAGTTTGTATATAATGAAAGTACAGAGAGTGAAGTCTTATTTTCCAGGTCTATAAAGAACTCACAGCAGTTTTTGTTATTACAATTTTTAAGGACCCACAAAGTGCTATACCCAAGGGAACAATGTTGGCCATTCTGATTACAACTATTGCTTACCTAGGAGTTGCAATATGTGCAGGTATGTAGTGAACATCTGTTTTGTGTCATAATTAATACAGTTAAGTAGGTTTAGAGCTCCATACTTAGATGAATAGTTAACCTCATCATTGTTTTTGATCCTGTGGATTTGCTATGCAGTAAGACAGCTGTTTTGACTTTATAATGGACGAAAAAAGGAAAAACAGATTAACAGAGACAAAAGGCTTCAGTTGACATCTGGATGGGATTTTTCCAGCTGTGTGCCTACATACAAGTAGAGGAATTCCTTTTATATTATCAGAAAACCTTGCAGTGCTCTGCAATTACTTCTGTACGCAATTCAATGACAAAGACTCATCTTCCACTGATATACAGTTCAGAGGAATGTTCTAAAGATGAATTCTCCAGAAGAAGCGTTAGCTCAAAATAAGTTTCAAAGCACAGTTCAACAAAACAGACACATAGAAAATAAACCTCTACTACTGCCATCATCCATGTGAGAGGAACAGGCAATTAAATTCTCATTATTGGGGTACAATACATATTCAAATACCAAGTTTATTTCAATTTTAAGAAGGCACCTTAATGAATGGCATTTCCTCTTTCTGCACAAGTGACTTAGCATCATGCTAGGGCCCTGTAAAATGCACTTTTTTATAAGAGAGAGAAAACTACAGTCTTTTTGGACTCTTCTGGTCTTTGTCCTTTATGCAAAGGGAGGGGAGTTCTCACCAAAGCCAGCTCTGGTAATTGGATTATGAGTGTTTACATTTCCTCTGCAGTGTCAGTTGGATACAGTTGTTCTTCACTTCCTGTCCTAAACCTGTGTAATGTTCATTTCTGCTAAGCAGTGGTTGCATTTCAACCCCAAGAGTGCTGAATTTTAGTGTAATGATTTCTGTTCAGCTTGCACATCAGTTTGGGAACTGTCATAATAAAATTATGTTTGGACATGTTTGAAAATATTGTGTGAACTTACACTTTTGCTATGAAAGATGTTGAGATCAGAGTTTCATAAATTAACTTCCCAGGTTTCTTCCCCCTGCTGAGAGAAAGCAAAATGAAACAGAACAAAACAAAAACAAAGAGCCAGAACATAAATTTCATTAGTAACAAAGAAAAGTCTACAGAACAAATTCTCAGGTGTTATAAATAAGCATAGTTCTATTGACTTCTATTGGAGTGATGCCAGCTTAGAAGATCTGGCCCGTGGAAGCCCTGATTATACCAGAAACGTATGCTCAGACTTGAAAAACTTTGGCAACGTGACTATCTTTGGACTCCAGCACTCTTTAAGAGGCCCAGAGATGGAATATGTACTTCACTATATCTGCTCTGAGTTAATGAGTTCCTTTTCTGTTGATCCTCCAAGCACCATGTACTCTACTCCCATAAAAATACCAGTCCCCAGTGTCCAAAGCATTGACTTTTTTTGAAAGTGCTCAGAGTAGATATTTGCTCACAGTACAGAAGACCAAGTCACAATCTAGAGAAGTAATATTATCCTAATGTAAAGCAATGCTCTTTGGGATAAAACCGAGGCAGCAATTTTTATAAAATATATGCAGGCTAAGATCCAAAGTGTGGCAAGAACATTCTTTTAGTGTCACAAGGAAGGGAAATAATAATATGTTATTGTTTCTACAGCTGCTTGTGTCGTGCGTGATGCTACTGGGAACGTCAATGATACGGTTGTATCCGGAACAAACTGTAATGGATCATCAGCATGTGCCCTGGGCTATGATTTTTCCAGCTGCAAAAGTCAGCCATGTGCTTATGGGCTGATGAATGACTTCCAGGTTTTAATTAGCTAATATCTATAATTATAAGAATACATGCACACATATGCAACATACAAAGACTTTGTTTACTGACAGCTAATGAATAGAGCCTCCTTTCTACCTCTAACCCTTCTGCTGTTCCAGTTGTTCTGGTTGTGTTGCCCTCATCAGGTACACAATGTCCCCCATCTTTTCTCTGGCAGATTAAGTTAAAAAAAACAACAAAAAAACAAGGAGGGTTGGCCCTGCCCAAACCCTTCGGCTGGGTTCACTTTGGTTTTCAATTCTGCTGCCTTGATTTCCTCCCAGTTCCATGTTAATTCCAGTTCTGTATTGCCCTGAAGTTACGCAGAAGGCAGGGCCAGAGACTAACTAGTTCAGAGAGGCGTGAGGTTTTCATAGGTTGTTGTTTCTCTGAACCAGTTGGTTTCTGTGGCACTCCTCTGCCCTAACTTCTGGCTGCAGGTCTAGGGGTTGATGATCTCTATTCTCCACCACTGCTGGCGTGTTTCATCTGCTCAATATTCTGTAGTTACCCACAGGCACTGGGCATCTATATACTCTGGAAAATCCCACTACGTGCTTCTCTGCTTCATTAGGCACATAAAGACCTTGAAAACTCTGGTAGACAGTCCCTGTGTGCCTCAGTCTGCTACTTGTAGAATGGGGATAATGGCATTTTTCTACCTCATGGGTATTTTATGGATTAATACACTACAGATGGTGACTGGTACTGGGGTACTGTTATAAGAGGGGCTAGAGAAGTACCTGTGATTGAGAGCTGCTTTCTATGTGCAAGTCTGACAGTTCTTTGCTTTTTTTGTTTAAGGTTATGAGCATGGTTTCTGGCTTTGGTCCTCTAATCACTGCAGGAATCTTTTCTGCTACCCTGTCATCAGCTTTAGCCTCACTTGTCAGCGCACCCAAGGTTTTCCAGGTATAATGCAGAACATCAATTTCTTTACACCCTATTTGACCCTAAGTAATATATAATCATGTGAGCTACCTGTCCTTATTAGTTGTGACATATTTTTCAAAAACATTAATTTGTTCTACCTGGGGCAAAACAAATACCTGCATAAAACATTTTAAAGAGGTTTTATTATATTAGTATAGAAAGAGACTTGGCTTGCTGCTCCATGCAGTTGAGCCAAAAACTGTGATGACCTGGGTATGGATTCCAGGTCTGCCAAAAATCTGATAGTTGATTTGGGCAAGTCACTAATCTGTGCCTCAGTTTCCCCTATTTAGTTGTGCCATACAAACTATTGAAATAATGCTTACAATGTACTTTTTCTTAAATGTCACAGTTTATTTATCTACTATAAGATATTGTTTGAGTGCTTACATCTGTAGCAATTGACATATTTGATACACCCAAGATAGATACAGTTATTTTTATTAGACCCTGTGTAACTTAACACCTGCTTTACTAATATTTTTTTTTCTAATACAGAAAGCACTAGTTAACTGAATTAAGTTCCAATTTGTCCACCAGGCTCTTTGCAAGGATAACATCTACAAAGCACTCCATTTCTTTGCCAAAGGTTATGGAAAAAACAACGAGCCAATCAGAGGATATATTCTTACTTTCGTTATTGCTATGGCATTCATTTTGATAGGTTTGTACAACTGCTGCTACCCTACTATAACTCAGAAACAAATATGTGAGAGTTTACATTTTTTTCCATTTCTTACACCATAAAAATATCTGCTGTTAAGTCACTATCCATATTGGTATTTAACTGTAATTCTAAACTAAGTCTTTTAAATTATTTTCATCTTGTGAGAAAATCTAAAGTGCAAAGTGTGGAATGCATTTTATGTGATCATTGATTATTAATATATCTCATTCTTTTATCATTAATCAAGCAGCCAGCAGAGAGGCTCAACTGCAGAGCATTAGCCAGTTGTGGCCACATACTATTCGCAATCCACTAACATTGGCTTAAGGCAAGAATATTTGTTTATGGGCATTGACCACCTGCACTGAGTTCTCAAAGCCCATGCTCAAGTCAAAATAATCTTAACTGAAATGTTTGGTGTACAAGGAAAGCGTGATAGATGAACACCTACTCTAGAGGTGCTAATAGTAAGTTATTTCAGGCAGGCAGGAAGTCATACTGAAATTGTGGAAGTTGATATTTGAATATTTAGCTCAAGGACAAAGAAATCAGTAACTTGACTAAGCAATTATGCAGGCATGTATGTGCTCCCACTGAAAGCAGTGACACATTATTCTCAAAGGCCCATAATCTGACCAGGAGGCAAAGTAAATTATTATGGCCTGATTTGTAAACGTGCTGTGCACCTGGCAGCTCCAGTTGACTTCAAGGGATAGGCACATGTTCAACACCTTAAAAAATTAGTTACATCCAATTAACCATTTTTTTTTGAGTTTTTCTATTTGGCATTACATTCCAAATCTCAAGAAAAGACAGAACATCCTTTAAAGCGTTCCACATAGTAAATTCCCAAGGACTTCAGCACAATGTCAAAGTACTGGTGCTTAGGAGATGTCCACATCTATCATCCATATTTCAACACCACCGTGGTGGTTTGGGATCTCTGGAGTCCTAAGTGAATTTGTCATAATACTTCATAATCAAATGCTGGGTCAAGAATTGAAGGGCTTGGTGGAGAAATTTTAAACTGTCTTTTGAAAAGGAATAAGTAAAGGTCACAATACCCCTTTTGTTCTTAGGAATCACATGACCTTTCTAATTACATCTTAAAATAATTAAGCCAAAGATCCAAACTGTGATGTCCTTGCATTAAATAGGCCCTTACATCATAAGCAGCTTCATTAAAATCAGTGAGACAGCTTCCACAGTCAGGCCTGGCACATGAGTGAGGATATCACAAGCTGACCTGCAGTTAGAATGACCAGGAGGATGTCCAAGCTCTGCAGGGGAAACAGACTTCTGCTATATCCAGATACCTTTATAGTTTGAAGAAACAGCTGTCCATCCAAAACCCCTTCAGAGAAACATGCATATGGCATCTAACTTGTGCTTCTTTCTTTCAGCTGAACTGAACACCATTGCACCCATCATCTCCAACTTCTTCCTGGCTTCATATGCACTTATTAACTTTTCTTGCTTTCATGCATCATATGCAAAATCTCCAGGTTAGTTTTATAAGCTTCTCCGAATTCAATGTAAACCTCACAGTTTATCATACTGAACATGAATAAGGAGTATATCTTAAACATAGCATCCGTAAAATTATGTAAGGCCTGAACATGATCCTCCTGAAGACAGGCAAATCTACGCAAGGCTTAGGGCTAATTCTCACAACTGTAATTTGATTCTGGGATGTAGAGGCACCTATGCTTCCTGCACCTATGTTGCATAAGACAAATCTCAGGGAAGGAAAAAAGGCTACTTCTTGGCATGTTCAGTGTTTTCCCTCTCTAAAGAATCTCTTTTATAGAACACCTGGCAGAGAACACTTCCATCATCACTCCCCTTTTAAAAAGTCTGTGCAGCCCATCAGTCACATAGAGAAAGTATGCATAGCTCAGTGGTTCTCAACCTTTTTAGACTCAAGGTACCCTTTAGAAAATGCCAGCTCTTAGTTTCCATTCATTTTTGGACAGCAGACAATAGAGCAATTCTTCTGTTGCAAAGAACTCAGAAAAACCACAACAGGGCAGAATGGTTTTTACACTATGGATTCCTCTATTTGAAATCCCTGGGCTTACGTTGTGAATCATGTTTTCACACTTAACAGCACAAACACTGTATGGCACCCCTGAAAGGATCCCTAGACACTCCAGGGTACCGAGACATCCTAGCTGGAAATCAACCATTGTCACAACTACAGCAGTAATGGAGGGGGAGGGGGGAGCAAGAGAAGGAGAAACAGCCATCCAAGGCATCATGGTCTTCTCTCAATGAGTGCAGAAGATCTGCAGGGAAATTTGCACAAAATTAATAACTTAGACGACAGTGTCCTCCATTTAAGTGCAAAGACCAAAAGCATCTAGGAACGTCTCAAAGCCAAAATGGAGGTGTACACCCAATGGAAGGGAGGGGCCATCACCAAGGAGGATTATACCTCCATTACTCGAGATTGTAGGGGGGCTGTTAGGAAGGCTAAGGCAGAGATGGGACTGGGACTAGCGTCCCGGATCAAGGATAACAAGAAGTCCTTTTTTAAATACATAGTGGGTAAAAAGAAGGTACTGAGTAACATGGGGCCTCTGCAGGACATGCTTGGAAATCTGGTGGTCGCACCAGATGACAAAGCTGACCTCTTTAACAGACTCTTTGCTTCCATTTTTCTGAGCAGGGACAGGGACATCCCCCACACTGGGATCCCGGGCAGACCCAGGGGAGGCGCAGCCAGGCCCAGGGTCAGTAAAGACCTAGTCAGGGAACTTCTGGTGGGACTGGATGTGTTCAAATCAGCAGGTCCTGACGATCTCCACCCCAGAGTGTTGAGGGAATTGGCAGAGGTCATTGAGGGACCCCTGCCACAGCTTTATGAGCACCCATGGTGCCCTGGCAAGGTGCCAGAGGACTGGAAAAGGGCCAATATGGTCCCCATTTTCAAAAAAGGGAGGAAGGGGGATCCAGGAAACTATAGGCCCATTAGTCTTACCTCGGTCCTGGGAAAGCTCTTTGAGAGAATTATCCTGGTGCATGTCCATGAGGGGCCAACAGGGGAGATTATGCTTAAGGACAAACAACGTGAGTTCATTAGAGGCAGGTCCTGTCAGACCAACCTGGTTGCCTTTTACGACCAGGTCACAAAATCCTTGGATGCAGGTGTCGCGGTGGACGTAGTCTTTCTGGACTTTAGGAAGGCCTTCAACACTGATTCTCTCACCCCATTCTCATTAAAAAATTAGGCGACCGTGGTGTCAATGCCTACACAGTCAGATGGGTCACAAATTTGCTGGAGGGCCGCACCCAGAGAGTGGTGGTGGACGGGTCATTTTCGACCTGGAGGGATGTGGGCAGTGGGGTCCCACAGGGCTCGGTCCTTGGGCCCGCACTGTTTAACCTCTTCATCAGCAACTTGGACGAGGGGGTTAAAAGCACCTTGTTCAAATTCACAGATGACACTAAGATGTGGGGAGAGGTGGGCATGCTAGAAGAGAGGGACAGGCTACAACTAGATCTGGACAGGTTACAGAGGTGGGCGGATGAGAATAGGATGGGTTTCAATACTGACAAATGCAAGGTGTTGTACCTGGGGAGGAAGAACCAGTAGCATACCTACAGGCTGGGGAACGCCCTTCTTGTCAGCACAGAGGCAGAAAAGGATCCTAGAGTCACCGTTGATTCCAAGACGAACATGGGCCACCAATGTGGGGATGCGGTCAGGAAAGCTAACCACACCTTGTCATGCATCCATAGATGCATCACGAGCAGGTCCAGGGAGGTGATCCTTCCCCTCTATGCAACACTGGTCAGGCCGCAGCTGGATTACTGCATCCAGTTCTGGGCGCCGCACTTTAGGAGGGATGTGGACAGCATCGAGAGGGTCCAGAGGAGGGCCACTCACATGATCAGGGGGCAGCAGTGCAGGCCCTACGAGGAGAGGCTAAGGGACCTGAACCTGTTCAGCCTCCACAAGAGAAGGCTGAGAGGGGATCTGGTGGCCGTCTATAAACTTGCCAAGGGGGACCAGCAGGCTATGGAAGAGTCCCTGTTCCCCCAAGCCCTACTGGGAGTAACAAGGAATAACGGCCATAATTGACTGAGAGTAGATTCAGGCTAGACATCAGGAGGCACTACTTCACAGTCAGGGCGGCTAGGAGCTGGAACCAACTTCCAAGAGAAGTGGTGCTCACTCCTACCCTGGGGGTCTTCAAAAGGAGGCTAGACAGTCACCTAGCCAGGGTCGTTTGACCCCAGCATCCTTTCCTGCCCATGGCAGGGAGTCAGACTTGATGATCTGCTTAGGTCCCTTCCGACCCTACCAACTATGAAACTATGAAACTATAATTTGGGCATGAAAAAGACTGTGTATTTACCCAGAGTACGATACACTTACCCAAACAATACTCATTAGATACACAGTGGGCACATCTACACATGCTTTTAATCCAAGGCAATATATTTTATAGTTATAATATATAGTTTATTACTCCTGGGCATGCTGCCTGAATGTGTACCTGTGACTGCAGCATGGTGAGCCAGGTCAGAGCAGTTCTGGCTGGCAGGGGGCCCTGGACAGTCAGCCTGCCAGCCCTGGGCTGCTCCAACCGTGCTTAACATGCTGCAGGGTGGCTGGCTGGTGCATGAAGGTGTGGGGCTAGCCAGGAGGCAGCCCCCACCCTGAAGCACCCTCATGCCCCACCCAGCTGGGTCAGCATCTACACATGTGGTGTTGCAGAGTAACAAACTCCACAGCAGGGTAGCACTTGTAAATACAAGTGCTACCCTGCTGTGGAGTTTATTTGTTTCCTGCAGACCCATAGGGTCTCACACATATATGCTGAGACATTTACTGCAGAGCTAACTTGGCAACTCTGCAGTAGGTGTCTTGTGTAGACGTACCCAGTGTGGTGGAATTAGCAGACCTGAAACTGATTAGCTCCATCATTTTCAAGGCTTCAATTTCAGGGCTGCTATTAGAAGCTTAAAAAATGAGGGCAGATAGGGACCCCAAAACTGACTAACTCCCATATTTTACAAAGCTTCTAATAGATGCCCTTTAATGGCATTTTCCACTTCACCATTTCTATGCAGTTAACAAGGCTATAATTATATTACAAAAAGGAAGTTATTCTGAAAGATGCTACATGCTTAAGTATCTTTTGTACTTCACTGATAAGCAGGTAATTGACGCTTGTTATAATATAAATTGGCAAAAAGACTGAGGCTGGTTTGTATTATACAGTTCAGTTAAGCAAATTATGCCCTCAACTAGTATGTACAGAAGTAGAGTGTGCTATACTGCTTGAATTGATAACCCTTGGAAGAGATTGAGTAGAACAGTAAAATACAACCAACCAGAATGGTTTTGGGGTATATCCTGGCCAGTACCAGATTTGTAGAGAAATACATACACTCTTCATACTGCCAACTGAATCCTCCAAGCTGAAAAGGATTCTTTTACTCTTTGGCCGAGACTCTGCTAGCTTGGGATAAGAAGTACAATGATGAAGTACTTTTCTCCATCTTTGTGTAACAAGAAAGTGAATAGACCCATGTCTGTGTGCAAGTCTCTGTGGACAGAATCATCCTCATTATTTTCAAGAATGAAGGGTTGGCAACCGGTAACAAGGAGAATCATCTGAATTATTTCCTTTTTAACCAATACTAAAGGCAATTTCCTGCTGTTGCAAACCAGTTATTCATTTCAAACAGTAGAGAAATACATTCTTTATTTCCAGTGTGAAAAAACTACAACAGTTGCATAAACATATATATATTAGCTCCTGTTATATAGGTAGGCATGCTGCCAGTTGTTCAGAGGGCAGAAAAGATTAACATTTCTGCTAATTATCTGCACAGTTGAACAAATGCAGATCTGCTCTATGCTGCCATAGAGCTCAGCACAAATTACCTCTGTGCACTTCATGTGTACATCAGTCATGATTCTGTGGCTACTTAACATTTCAGACAAAACCATAGCCATTTTCCCCTTTTTCTCACTTCCTTTGACTAATTTCTGTGGTTCCTGCCAAGTCATAGTGATAGATGTTCATAATTGCAAGGCTGTATGACTGCAATTTTTTTTCAGAGCACAGAGACTTCCCATTCCATCATTATTATTGTGATCCATGTTAGGGCTGCTCAGTCTCCCCTTATATCTTCAGTATTTTTCCTTATCCAAAGAATTTCTGCTACAGAACACCTGGCAGAGACCTACAAACCATGGAGGTAGACCGTTTGCTCCATCATTTAAATTACTAGCAGGGGA